GGACCCGCTCTTGAATCTCAGCCCCATCCTGACTAGCTAGCTATAACTCAGGCAAGTTACTTTTCTGAGACCTTCTCTCCTTTGTAAAATCAGAATATAATCCCCATTTTACTTATTCTTTGTGAGGATTTAGTGAGTTTAAAGTGCTTGCCAAGGTGCCTGCCCTGTGGTAGAAGATATTCTAAATGAGGGGGAAATGGTTATTGTTAGATAGATAAGAAATCCTGGAGATTAGCTTGATCTCCCTCACAGTCGGTCTGCCAACCATTCTTTCACCCCACTGTGAGGGTGCATGTTTTAAGAGGAAGGGACACTGCACCCTCCAACATTATTGGTTCCCTTCCCCAGGATAGGGGATGAAGGACTCTGTGAAAGGTCCCTGCAGAGATGCCTGCACAGCGGGGGACACTCCTGCACTGGCCAGAAGATAGGCTGAGACTAAGCAATAGCCCTTTCTTTCTCTTTTATCTCAGACAGCAGCAGCCCCAGCCCGATTTAAATTTCCTTTAAAGGAGCTCAGGATGGTAGGAGGGTGAAGATGTACATCTTTAAAGAGTGGTAGGTGACTCTAAAAATGAGATAAATCAAAGCATCTGCATCTATAGCTGTACGTCTCTGTGTCTTAGGTGGCTCTGCTTCTTATTTTAAGTTACTGACGTGGCTTCCTGAAAAGTGGGTTTCAGTTTTTTAACTGAGAGTTTATTATCCTGCTTCTAGTAGCCCATTCTGTCTATCTGTGAGCTGGGTAGGACCTATTGTTTCTAGTGAACTTAGAGAAAGTAAAGCATGACCACCTGTGGGTTAACAGTTAGGTAGAGGAGGAAATTCCAGGGACAGAAGAAAATAGAAAACACCCTGGAGCCTGAGTCCCTTCTCAGGTATGGGTGCTGGGCCAGCCTTTACCTGAAATAAAATAAGAGCAAAGGATGTGGGGACATGGGGTCCTGTGGCCCTCACACTCTCCTCTACCCAGCACTGTCCACTTTCCTAGGTCTTTCTGATCTAGGGAAAATGGTCTAATACTGGTCCTTCACTTTTTTTATTTGAGCCCTTCACATTTTAAGTTTGATCTCCTAATGGTGAATGAGTTGGGGATGGTTTGGGAAGGCATTTTAGGGATGGTGACGCTTGAAATCAGAGCCTGTGCTATTTACCTAATTTTTCCAACTTTTATGGCTGGCATCTGGGAGAGGTAGGCCAGTCCAGACATCTTTCTGGTCCAGAGATGCCTGTTTCCTGTCTGACTCATGCCTGAGCCTCAGAAAGCTCCCATGAGAGGAGAGCCATGGGCTGTGGCCAAAGACTGGCTCTTCTCTCTGTGTTGGTCAAGTACTTACAATGATGGATTTTCCTTCGTTTTAGTGGAGGGACAATTGGGGAGAGCTTTGCTCTGTACCTTTTTTTCCTCTTTAAATTAAATTTGTTTATTTAAAATACATATGACATAAAATTTGCCGTTTGGATCATTTTTACTGCTACAGCTCAGTGCATTAATTACACTCACATTGTTATGCAACCATCACTACTATGTTTCTAAAACTTTTTCGTCATCCAAACAGAAACTCTAGTACCACTTAAACAACTTCCTCTCACTCTGTTCTTTACACAATTAAATTCTTTTCTTCAGCATCCGAACAAACATGGGGATTTCTAGTTTATTCCCTTCTTCCTTCTCCTTCTGTCCCATAATAAAAGAAATAGGGTAATACTTTTTATTTCCCCCTTGAGAGCCATGTTATTTATTTATAAAGATATATCATACCTCCTGTTACCCAGAGAAAGATATGTGTCTTGCTCCACCACCCTAACTTCTCCTGAAGCAGGGATGGGTAATGCCAAATTATATGCTCCTTGACCATCATGAGTACCCTAGCCATCAGTGGCATGCCTCAACAGGCGAGCTGCCCTTGTCATGCAGTCTTGACACTGACTTAGTCTCAGCTAAGCCTTTTTAATAGGAGACTTGCTTGTACATAGCTGAGATCAAACACACTTCATAGTTGAGTTGTTATTGCCTATATATTCATTAATATCATTGCTATTTAAGGTAGAAGATTATGAGCTGTGCAGTAATGATTTGGGTATAGATAGATATGGGTATAGATAGATAGATATTATACTGCATTAGATAGTTTTTATTTTGAACAGATTCCTAATTGCACTTCAGTACTGTGATTGAAGCTGAACAAGGAAGAGTTTGAACTTGATCTTGGCCTTCTAGGAACTTGAAATCTAAGAGAAGTATGTGAAGGTGGAAGGATGGAAATCCAAATCAATATTGGAAGCAAAAGTGAAGTGTCTGGGGATGGAATCTAGCATTTGCTGAAAGCCTGCTATGTGCGGGTGCCAGTCTTGGGTGCTTTATTTGTGTCATCTCATTTTCCCCTCATGACTTTGTGAATTGGAGGTTATTTTTATCTCTCTTTTACAGATGAGAAAGCTGTGACGAAGAGAAGTTAGATTACCAAGCTCACGCAGCTAATAAGCTGCAGAGTTGGTAATGAAATAGAGGAAAATACAGATGTAAGGTAGTTGAGTCCACTGTATTATTGATGTTAAAATCAGGATATTACAGAGTCTGTGAGTGTGGATAGGTTGAGTGAATCAGAGCAAAAGGATGGGAGAAGGTAAAGACATCAGCTTTTATTTCATTTTAAAATGATATAATTTTACAAAAATAATAAACAATAATTAGTGCACTCATACTGTGTGCCAAACACTGAGCTGTAACCTTTGCATTCAGTGTCTTATTTAATCTTCGTGGTGACTCTGTGAAGTTTCTGCTATTATGAGCCACATTGTAAAGATGAGTAAATAAAAGCATGGTGGGGCTCAATACCTGGCCCAGCTCACACAGCTGGTGAGTGACAGAGCTGCAAGTCCTATGTGGACCATCTGACTTCAGAGCTCCTCACTTGATGAGTCACAGAGCCCACTTCTTCAATGCATAACAGCAAGGAAAGCAAGGCCTTGGCAATATGAGGTTGAATTGCTGACCCTATGAAGGCTAAGATGGGTTTTTACCTCTTGGGCCCTTTTTTTCAGTTAGACTGGCACATTCTTTTCTAGAAGCCTTTATCGAATATTTGTACTTAAGCGCTGGTGTTTCTAGGCAAAGAACAAGATGAGTAAAGGCTTAGAGGTGAGAAGTAACAGGGTGTTTTTGGGAACTAGGAGAGGCAGGAAGAGAGGGGGCCAGATCACAGAGGCATTGCATAGCCTACTGGCAAACTTGCATGTTATTTTTGTAGGCACTGGGAACCCTTAGTAATTTTGAGCAAGGGAAACATGTAATTAAAAATGGCATTGATTGTCCTCAAAACACCACAAAATCCATTCCTCCTACTGCACGAGAGGAAAAACAAAGGCTCAGAGAGGCTGAGCCTTTGCCTGCAGTTGCTCAGCAACTCGTTAGAGGAAGGAGCAGCAGAAGCCCACACTGCTGTCTCTCCTTCCAGCTCTGGGAGCTGCCGGCTGCCTTCCTTTCACTCTGCCTGTTCCCTTCCTACCTCTTGCCTGCTCCCTCCTGGCACAGTGGAGTCCTTTCCATCATTAGAGCAGCCAGTGGGGTTCTGTTGTAATTAAAGAAAGCCAACAGGGAGAAGCAAAGCAGAGCAAGGGAAAAAAGCAACCACCAACACCACACAAACTCCGTAACAACTGCTGTCTGTCGCCTTTCATGGGCACTTGCTTGCTTTAAATACAGCAGAGGGAAACCCCATAGGATGGTGTGGGAAAGCAGGTTATTAAGTTGCCTTCAGGCTGGCAGAGTGGGATTTACTTCTTTTCTTGTCCTCCCTACCCTGCAGTGCAAAACTGATCAAATATTAAAAGTTGAAAGAGACTTCGAAGGCCATTTAGTTCAACTTCTCCTCCAGGGCAGGGCTTCCTCCATTGCCTTCCCCTCTCAGCATAGCATCTCTGATATGTTGTTACGTGGTGGCTCCCCCGCTCCCCAGCCCTCCACATTTTCTGGATCCAAGCTCAGGTAGGGATGGGAAGACGTTTTCACTAGCAAAATACTGGCTACATAGGCCTGTTGTCATTTACGGCAATGACTTTGGAAATGTCTAATTAATTCATTTATCCAATTAGCCTCTTGCTCTCTGAAATGCGTCTTCTTGGTTGCTGAGCAACTAAGACAGACTTTGAACACATGCATGCTGCTGGTGAATGAACCAAGGGTTTTTTCCTTCACCCTGGAGGCCCCCCACTCCTCTTTCTCCTTTTATTTTTCTGATGCATTATAAAGAAGAACATCTTCATCATTCCCCAGCCTTCTCGCCTCCCCCCCACCCCCACCCCCAGCCTCTCTGAATGTGCATGGTGCCTGTATTAACACATTTCCAAAGGTAACTTTTATGCCAAGCATTTTTCATGGACAAGGAGAATGACAGGATATATGGGCACACAGAGATGCCTTTGTAAAATATTGGAATTATCTGGGCTAAGGCATGACTCGGAAGGAGCTTTGCTGGTTGTTTGGGGAGGCGGGGTGAGGGCTGGCTAAGGACAGATGCATTGGGAAAGAGGGCGCAGTCTGTCTTGGGGTGGCGTTGCATTAAGTGCAGCTTGACTAGGCAGCAATTCCATATGTCTTTACAGTGTGTCCTTCATGGGGGAATTGTTAGCCATCCCCAGCCTGGAGTGCATTGTGAGCAATAAACAGGAGCGGGACTTACGGTGAAAATGAAAGGAAAAATATCAACCCAGGAGAGTAGCAAAGTGCCTTGAGGAATCATCCTTGAAGTGTAACACGTTTCTGTTTAAGGATGTGAAAATGCCACAGGCTGCTTCAGTGAGTTAGAATGTTAGAGATAGACTTTGAGCTCAAAATTCCACCCTTCTTCGCTTATACAGATGAGATAATCAAAGCTCAGGGAGGATAAACTGTTTGCTCAGTGTCTCACAGCCCCATCCTGCTCATGCCACCACATTCCTCCTCTTAGATCTCATTAAGGGGTCCCTGTCCATAAAATTAGTTGCTTGAGTCACCAAAATTTACTTTTAAAAATTTGACTTTATTTTGGAGTAGTTGAAGTTGGCAATGAAGATTTGCAGAGCTCAAGGATCTTGACATCTATCTCCCCATTCACCTTGGTATGTGTGTATTGCAGATGCCAGGGGCACGTGCTTGGGCCCAGTATTCAAATTCAAATAAGGAAGCATCCCTTGTCTTCAAAGAGCTCCCTCCACTCCTTTGTGTGGTAGAAGAGATTGTCAGTGAAGGAGGAAGGAACTCCTTCTCAGAGACATTAAAGAAGCATTTAGAGAAGAGGAGCTGGGCCATTTGCTGGGCCCAGATTTTATTGTGAGGGAGCAATGGGGATGGGATGAGGGTGGGGGACATTCCTGGTCAAGGGGACAGCTTGGGCCTAGTAAGGAGGCATGAAAGATGGTGACATGTTTGGGGACTGGAGAGTGGCTTGGGAATAGAGCCTTCCAGCTGTCTGACTTTTCTCTGATACATGGTGGATGGTTTGGTGCTGCCCACATTGACTTCTGGAAGACACTGCCTCTTGCTCTCTGGAATAATAAGAAAGCACAGTTATCTCTATGCATGTGTCAGTATGAAAAAGCATATGTCAGGTTTCCTAATGGAAATTACTTCCCTTTGAAGTTAGTTTATAAATAATGATGAAGCCCATAAAAGTACCCATGCACCGCACACATTTAGTTACTGCTTGTGTACTCTGCTTGCTGGGAGCAGAGCCTTCAGCTGCCCAGAGAAAGAATGAGGGACTGTGCATCCTCTAAAGCACTGGCTTCCAGAGCCTCCTATAGGGCCAAGGGAGACCTTTTATGGAACAGGGTCTATTCCTTGGCACTCACAATTGTAGCCATCACTCAGTCACTCTGAAATTCCAAGAAACGTTCAGAGAAAAAAGTGGCCTATGACAATGATTGCCCTGACCAATACTTTCCAAGGCAGCAGATGCTTCTTTAGTTCCAAGCATTGCCTGCCATGATCAAGTTCATCCTCCAGCAGTGCAGCTACATTTCCCTGGTGGCAGGCATTCCTTTTCCAAGGTTGGGTTTGCTTTTAGAGGGCCCAGAGAAGGCAAACAGCATTGTGGGTGCTCATTAGAATAAAATCTCCTCTGGGAATATTCTTAACAAGGTGGTTTGAGTTTCTCTAGGAATTAAATGGGCTGCTTGCTATTTTTCTGGTAAGACTTGTTACACTAAAATGCATATGGGGCTGAAATCACAATAGTCTGTGTTTGGAGCAATCAGACACACATGGCAATCTAAGGCTCTGGTAAGGAAGGGTCTGTGGGTTTTTATTCAATAAATATTTGATACCTCAGGCTTTGATGGATGTAGACACTGTCTGCTTGGGTTTTCCTAGACCAAAAGGCGACGTCTCTGGTAGTCACTGCCTCTTGTTTGTTCCTTTGATTTCCTTCTACGAAAAACAATTCTTGTCTTGGTAAGGTCTGTTAAATCTGCTCTTTTCCCAATGGGGCTGGTAGTGCATTGTGGACAGAACTGGAACTTTCTCTCCCTCTGGTCATTCTCTGTCATCCCCTGGGTGATTTGATTTCCCATTTTCTGAGATGTGCTGATAGGGCTTGTCTGCCACCCCCTCTTATATAAGGAGACAGGGTGCATCTAGTGCCAGATTTTATTCAACCCTGTAACAATCCCCCCTTTATGACATCACTGCTCATCACCATGGAAACATTTCCCCCGAGTCACAGAGACTGGATTGTGGCATCATAGCATCAGGCAGGAGGAGGAAAGAGGAAACTGGAGAGGATTGAAACTGCCTGGAGGGATGAAATGCCATCAAAATAGTATGCAGTGGCAGAAATATAGGATTTTTCTGTCCGGATGCTTGAATGGGGAGTCTAACCATGGCCTGTAGGAATAAACCTTATCAGCATAAGGAGGAAGAGCTTTTGTGGAATGTAGACCTGGGACCTTTTGTTCCTGTGCAGTATTTCTTCAGGAAAATGTAATAATTTTAATGAGAGCTATCCTGTATTTTATTTTTAGAGACAGGGTCTTGCTGTTGCCCAGGTTGGAGTGGAGTACAGTGATGTGACCATAGTTCACTGTAACCTCAAACTCCTGGGCTCAAGCGATCCTCCTGCCTCAGTTTCCCAAGTAGCTGGGACTATAGGTGCATGCCTCCATACTCAACTACTTTTTAAATTTTTTATAGAGATGAGGTCTCACTGTGTTTCCCAGGCTGGTCTCTCCTGTATTTTATATGCATTTCTTATTTGATCCTCACAAAGTCTCTTTGAACTCTTGGATCAGAGAGGTTAAATAACCTGCCGAAGGTTACACAGCTAAAAAATGGCAGAGCTGAAAATTATTAGGAGCATAAGATGTAAACTGTGTTTTCATGCAGCTTAGAGTTGGGAGAGAGAGAGAGAGTGAGAGGTGAGAAAGAGAGTATGTTGGAGAGAGTAATCAAGTTAATAAAATATACATAGTTAAAATTGTGGTACGTGTCATGAAGAAAATAGACATGATGCTTTCAGTGAGGAGATACTGGAGTATGCATGAGAATTTCTTATGTTTGTATGTTATTACATTTGAGACAAGGTTCTGAACCTCGTCAGTGTGTACTTAGATATGCAAGGCACCGTGCTCATATATGTACTGACCTTCCCAATCTCACCTGCTGGGCCCCGCGACCAATACCCTTCTCCTTAGCTGCTTTTCTCTGTGTATGCCTCATCTTCCTGCACCTCTGCTTCTCCATTTGTCTTCTCCCTTCTCCATTTGTCTTCTCCCTTCTCCTGAGATCTTCCTGCCTGCCCTCCTCCCTTGATGCTGTTTCTTCCTACTGATCTCTGATCTCTTTCTCTAGACTACAAACTCCTCAAGAGAGAGAAAATTGCTCCCCTGTTTTATATGTTGATTTACCCAAAGATCAAGCTCTAGCTGCTTCTATAGTCTGCTGCAGAAATAAATGAGCAATGTCCCTTTTTAAAGAAAAAAAAAAAAGACTACATTTTTCAAAGTTAAAAAATATTGTCTAGTAGACTTTTCTTATCAAATGCTGGCTGATAAATAAATGAACAAGTAACAAGTGAGCATTAAAAGGGAACAAAGCCCCAGAGTAAATGGCCAATCCTATGTAGTTCTACAGCTTGTTTGCCACTGTTGTTTGCATGGGTTCATTCTAATTCTGATTTCAAGTTGTATTCATGGGATCTAGCTATCTTTTCTCTTAATACAACTGGTCTCAGTATGTAGGATGGTGTCAGTTAGCTTAGTGCTTCACAGGGTTCTAAGAGCTGGGGTTGCTTTACCATGGACCTTCTCTGGCAGCTGCTGTCCTGGTGCCACCTGGCAATAGATGGATGTAAGGAAGCCTCATACCTTCCATTTGTGTCACCTTGCTGAGCTTTTCTTGATTCATCTCAGTTTTAAGAGTGTTTGCTACTTGAGTTCAAGGCAACTTCATTGCACTCCTAGGATTTAAAGTGGGCAGATTAGTCTCTATTTGATCTGCAGTTTCTGGGCTGCCTGACTCAGCTGAGCACCGTACTGGTTGGAGGTCTGCAATTAGACTTCATTGCAATGGCCATGTGTATGTGTGTGTGTGCACGCACATGCATGCACACATATAGATCTTCATTAGTAAACCATATTAAATGCCTTTATAATCCAACCTTGTTCTTTCCAGGACCTACATTAACTCGATCTGACTTCTAGGGGAGCCCTTCTGGATCTGCTTTATTGACTCTATCAGAACTGTTTGTGATGGGCACATCTGAAACTACTAAGTGGGTTTTTTCCTCTTTTTATTTTTTAAGTGCTACATGAGGAGTGAATAGTGAATTAAGGTCACAGGCTTTGGAATGAGAGACACAAGAATTTGATCCTGGTTGAGCCTCTTACTAGCTATATGATCTTGGGCAAGTTACTTATATTCCCTATATTTAAATGTCTTCATTCAGAAAACAGACATGAATATTAGTACCTACTTTATAACGTTGATGTTCAGATTCAGGGAGATACACTTGTAATGTCTTACCATGATGTCTGTCTCATCAAAGTTAACTATGATTAAGTGGGCCAAACGTACCATTTGCATATTTTCCTGAAAAATTATGCAAACACTTTTTGAATTCAGCATAAAACTTGAACTATAGCACAGATCATATCTAGACTTTCTCAAGTTTGAATTAGAAGGGTCAGAATAATTGGCATTTTAATTGTTTGCCATTTACAGGCACCACAGGTGAAGAGAGTCTAGGAAGAATAATTCCTACTTGGAACTAATTCCTGAGACCTTTGTCAGATATTAGAGATATTTTCCCAAGTGTGGTTCTGACATTAAGACTGTTAAAGCAAATTAAACATGTGCAGTCCCCTTCCTCTGAGAGCAAAGAGTTATCTTCCAGAGGGGAAGTTCAGTTGGACATATGTCTGTGTTGATAGGCACATACACTTCAGCAGAGAGAAGTGGTAAGAACAAGCACTGCCACTCAAAAGTGGCTCTATGACTTTAGGAAGTCAATTTCTCTTTCTGGGCCCCCAAATCCTCAATATAGAAGGGGAAAGAGTGGTAGCTACTATATGCTTTTTCCCTCCAGCATGTTTATTGATGTATAACATACATGCACTAGAGTGCACAGGTTTAAAAAATTTATTATCTTTTATTGTGCGAGTGCACAAGTTTAAAAAATTTATCATTATTTTTTTAATGTGTATTTAAAATACACATAAAAGTTTACCATCTTAACCATTTTAAGTGTATAGTTCAGTAGTATTAAGTACATTCATAATGTTATGCAAGCATCATTGCCATTCATCTCCAGAACCTTTTCATCTTGCAAAACAAACTCCATACCCATTAAATAATAACTTCCCATTCTACCCTACTTCCAGCTCTGACAACCACCATTCTACTTTGTGTCTCTATGATGTTGAATACTCTAGCTACCTCAGTAAGTGGAATCATACAGCATTTGCTTCTTTATGTCTGGAATATTCACTTAGCATGATGTCCTCAGGGTTCATCCATGTTGTAACATGTGTCAGAATGTCCTACCTTTTAAAAGAGGAATTATATCCCATTGTATGTATTTACCACATTTTGTTTATCCATTCTTCTGTTGATGAATGCTTGGACTGCTTTCATATTTCAGCTCTTGGGAAAAATGTTGCTATGAACATGGGTATACAGTTTACTGGTATCTCTTTCAGATCCTGCTTTTACTTCTTTGGGGGATATGCCCACAAGTGGAATTGCTACATTATATTGTAATTCTATGTTTAGTTTTTTGATGAACTGTCACACTGTCTTCAATAGTAGCCATACCAATAGTGCACAAGTCTTCCAGTTTCTCCACGACCTCACCAATACTTACTTTGTTTTTTTTTTTTTTTAATAGTAGTCATCTGAATGGAAGTGAAATAGTATCTCATTGTAGTTTTCAGTTTTATTTCTCTAATGATTAGTGATATTGAACATCTTTTCCTGTGCTTATTGGTAATTTGTATATCTTCTTTGGAGAAATGTCTATTCAAGTCCTTTGCCTGTTTTTGAAATTGGGTAGTTTGTTTTGTTGTTGTTGAGTTTTGGGAGTTCTTTATGCATTCTGCATGCCAACCCCTTATCAGATGTATGATTTGCAAATATTTTCTCCCATTCTGCAGGTTGCCTTTTTACTCTGTTGATAGCATCTTTTGATACATAAAATTTTTTAATTTTCATGAACTCCAATTTGTCTGTTTTCTTTTGTTGCTATGCCTTTGGTGTTATATCTAAGAAATCCAATGTAGTAAAACTTTTCCCATAAATTTTCCTCTAAGAGCTTTTTAGTTTTAAGTCTTACATTTAGGTCTTTTATTCATTTTGAGTTGATTTTTATATACGGTATTAGGTACTTAATTGTTTTCTGTGTCAATATCAAATTTTCTCAGCACCATTTATAGAAAAGACTGTCCTTTCCCCATTGAGCGGTCTTGGCACCTTTGTCAAAAATCATTTGACGATTTATATGAAGGTTTATATCTGGACCCTATTTCCGTTGTTTTATATATCTGTCTTTATGCTAGTACCACACTGTTTTGATTACTGTAGCTTTGTAGTAAGCTTTTATTCAGGAAGTATGAGTCTTCCAGATTTGTTTTTCTTTTTTAGGACTGTTTTAGCTATTTAGGCTCCCTTCAGATTCCATATGAATTTTAGGATGGACCTTTCTATTTCTGCAGAACACATCATTGGGTTTTTGATAGAGATCACATTGAATCTGTAGATTGCTTCAGATGGTATTATTTTGATAACACTAAGTCTCTTGTTCATGAACATAGGGTGTTTCTATTTATTAATGTCTTTAATTTCTTTCTGCAGTGTTTTATAATTTTCATTGTACAAGTCTTTCCTGTCCTTTGATAATTCCTAAGTATTTTATTATTTTTACTGCTATTATAAATGAAACTGTTTTCATAATTTTCAGATTGTTTATTGCTAGTGTAAAGATATGTAACTGATGTTTGTCTATTGACTCTGTATCCTGCTACTTTGCTGAATTTGTTAGTTCTAATCTTTTTTTTAATCTTTAGAGTGTTATACTTACTACATCATATCATCTGTAAACAGAGATAATTTTACTTCTTTCCAATTTGGATGCCCTTTTTTTTCTTGCCTAATTGCCCTGGTTAGAACTT